TTTATTGAATTAGATATCAACTCTATCAATGTAATCATCATAGGTGTTGATGCAGAATTCCACGCAACCCGGATCTGATCTGACTTCCTGAACAAAGAGAAGAAAAGATGATGCTACAGGCACCGATGTGTTATCGGTGGAATAGGCTTCGACGAATAAGTCAGTATACAAAGTAATCTCTCTAGAGAAATCAAGAAATTGAGTTAGGATCTATTGCATACCTTAAAACGTCGATTAACCCCTTTATTTATAGGGCTTAGGTTATGATGTAACGTCAACTTACCATCGTCTTAATCCTTATCGTAATCTGTAGACTTAATCCTTATCGTAATCTGTAGGTTTAATCCTTATCGTAATTTGTAGAGCTTATATCAATCTTATGAGATAGTACGTTAATTTAACAACCTTCTCCTATCCACGAGTATTTAAATTAACATCCATCAGTTGCCCCCCATTTCGGAGGATTGCTTGTCAAACCACAGGAACGTTAATTCCTAAATATTACATAATAATATATATTTAGAATTGTAGAGCCGTTTACCCCGTATTTGTACAATAAGTTGGTTTGATTATTAGATAGTAAAGCCTTGCCCATCAGCTTGACTCATATTGCCACTTCGCGAACACAGTTGGGGGTCGAGCCTGACTCAAATTTAGCTTGACTCAAATTTAGCCTGACACAAATTTAGCCTAATGCAGTCGGGGTGTGGAGCTTGACTCAAATTCAGCTCGACTCAAATTTAACCTGACACAATCGGGGGTAGAGCCCGACTCAAATTTAAAATAAAATAAAAAAAAAAATTCTCTTAAAACTGTAGAAGTCTTTGACATATTTGTCGTAGTGCCACATTGGCAGCTCGTATATGTGGCAAGCTGCCATGTTGGCAGCTTACCTTTCGGCACATAGGCAACTCATGTGCGATTTCACTTTATAGAAGTAAATTCTTACGTAAAATAACCTACTGGGAGCTGATTGACCCTCATGAAGCAGATTTCTGTTAGACCTCCGCCATAAATCTCTTCCTTATCTATTTATGTTCTTCTTCTATAAATCGAGATGGTTTGAGTATAATTCATTCAAATTATTTCCATCTTCCAGAAAACCAAGTAGTACCAGTCATAGTGATGTTATTTTATACTTGATTTTATTGACATCTTTAGTCAGTTCGTCCATTTAATAAAGGAAGTAGATTAATACGAGTTTTACTCATCTCACCCTTTAACAAGGGAAGTAGATTACTATAAGCTTGCTCACCCTTTAACAAGGGAAGCAGATTACTATAAGCTTCACCCAGCTTACCCTTTAACAAGGGAAGTAGAGTACTATGAGCTTCACTCAACTCACCCTTTAACAAGGGAAATAGATTACTACGAGTTTCACTTAGGTCACCCTTTAACAAAGGAAGTAGATTACTACGAGCTTCACTTAGCTCACCCTTTAACAAGGGAAATAGATTACTTTCATGGTATTTAGGGTTGTCCTCCCCAGGATAATGTTGTATGATAATGGGCAATCCTCCACTAGAAAGTCCACCATCACAGTGACCTGCTTTGGATGGGCTCCTACAATGATTGGAAGGGTAATTGCCCCTAGTGGATATACTTTGTCATATGAAAATCCCACCAATGGTGACTTCATGGGTGGTAGTTTCTTTCTGCCAATTTTTAATTTATCGAACACCCAAGAAATAGTATGTCAGCTGAGTTGCTATTGTCAACCAGTATTCGTCGAACAGTGAAATTAGCGATGACCATGGAAAATACCAAAGGATCATCATGGGGCTAGTGAATTCGCTTGTCATCTTCTTTAGAAAAGGTTATGTTCGGCTCCTCAATTCGCAGTAATTTTGTTGGAGGAATTGTCACTCCAACTTCATTCACCTCTGAAAAACTACGAATTCTCCTGTCATGAGCCCTCCGAGCCGAACTCGTCTCTCCACCATTAGTTAAGCCACCCGATATAACTCTGATCTCACCTATTGGTTGGTGTTGAGGAAGGTGATCATCTCGGCCCTCTCGGGCTAGGTTGGAGCCTCTTCTTCTATTCCCAGTCGTGAATCTACGTAAATGACCTTTACGAACAAGGTTCTCGATCTGGTTTTTGAGGTCGAAGTAATCTTCTGTGTTATGTCCATGGTCCCAGTGGAACCTACAGTATTTATCTCAAGACCTCTTTATTGGATCAGCTTTTAGCTTTAGCGGCCATTTCAATGATGCATCATCTTAAATCTATAGAAAGACCTGCTCTACAGATGTATTTAGGGGGTTATAGTCATTATACGTGCCTGGGCTCACTTGACAGCAAGACGATCTGTCAGCCTGGCTGTTTGAGAATTTCTTATACTTCAATTCCCTTTCCTCCCTAGTGCTAGGTGCTGGCCTCTTTTTATCTGACCTCTTATCTTCACCATCTTTGTTTTTTCATGCATTTATAGCATCCTTAGCGTTCATGTTCTTCTACGCTCTAACCATTAACTCTATCATGCTCGTAGGGGCTTCCTTTGACAAGGAAAATGGGAACTTAGAGGTCTGCAGTCCTCCCATAAAGGCTGTGAGGGCAACCTTATCATCCACCTCTTCTACCTGCAGCATTTCAGGGTTAAAATGACTTATGTAATCATGAAGAGGCTCTCCCTTCTGCTGCTTCACATTTAATAAGTGTGTTGCTGGTCTCCTATGAATAAGTGTCCTATAAATTATTTGCTCTACTCATTAAAGTTTTCAATGGAGCCTGGCTTTAATTTATTGAACCAGAGACGAGCCCAACCCTTTAGTGTGGTACGGAAAGCCCTACACATAATCTCGTCCGGCATGGCTTACAAATACACAAGAGCTTTGTAGGTTTCCAAATGATCGAGAGGGTCCTGCATCCTATCGAAGCTCTTAAGAGTTGGCATCCTGAATTTACTAGGTAGAGGACAACTCATAATAGCTAGGCTAAATGCTAGGTTGGTCTTTTGTACCAGATCAGTCACTATGGCCTGGCCCTTCCCTTTCATCGCTTGCATGACAACTTCGACCCTAGCCTCAGATTTTGCATTTGTATCGAAATGAGTGACGTCCTCGGTCTTTTCGCCAACACAACCAGAGGTATCTCAACGAAGCTTGGCGGTATTCTGTTCAGGAGACCGATGGTGATGGCTTCTTTGTTGACCCTCTATTTGACCCTTTATTTGACTAAGCTTAGTGTCGTTGTCAATCCTACGGGAGTGATTGTTTGGTACTTCACTGTTCTCCACCTTGTTGGGGGCGGCTAGGTGTTGCAGAATCATTGCATTTTGCTGGACTAATTGGTTCATTCCCTCATTAAGGTTTAAACCTGTTGTTGCAACACTGTAACGCGTTCCTGATCGTTTGGGATAACGGGGGGTTGCCTCGTCGAGTCCCCCTGATTAAAAGTCTGCAACGTTTCATTCTCGCCAACTGTTGATGCAAAATTTCGCGCAACCCGAATATGATCTGGCTTCCTAAACAAAGAGAAAAAAAGGTGATCTTACAGGCACCAGTGTGTTACCGGTGGAGTAGGCTCCAACAAATAAGTCAGTATACAAAGTAATCTCTCTGGAGAAATCAAGAAATTGAGTTAGGATCTATTGCATACCTTAAAACGTCGATTAGCCCCTTTATTTATAGGGCTTAGCTTATGATGTAAAGTAGACAATTTGTAGGCTTAATCCTTATCGTAATCTGTAGACTTAATCCTTATTGTAATCTGTAGAGCTTATCTCAATCTTATGAGATAGTGCATTAATTTAACAACTTTTCCCTATCTTCGGGTATTTAAATTATACATCCATCAATAGGCATGAGCTAACTCTTTCTAAGTTGATGCAAAGTTCAACCAGAGCTTAGACAACATTTCTCATTCTGCGGTTGAGTTTGGAACCTACAGTCCGTCTAAGTTGCATTCCTAGTTCTTGGAACTCTAAACTTGATCGGAAAAACAATAAAAATTACATGAATGAAAGTTATAAAAAAAGTCATGTTCAGTTTTGGCCCACGACATTAAATTGCTAGTCTGACTTGCTTAATTTATGTCTAAACAATTAGTATGATTCCAATATATTCCAACCAACGTCCAGAAAATTTCTACTTGAATTTTCTTTCGGTCTTTCACTGATTATGAAAGAAACATTCTCCGCAATTTTGCGGAAAATAGCATAAATGTTTCCAGGAATTAGAATTTTGCTCTTCCTCATGAATGTGACCCTCATAACAGAAATTGTTCCAACACAAATAGCAGAATCAACAACTACACAGAGGCTCTTTGCTTTTCATCCAAAAACAATAATTGTCGAAAATCAAAAACCAGGAGAGGAAGAACATGTTGTCCTGCAATTGGACACAACCCTATTACGAAGAAATAGCAAAAGCACCGATGGTATGGGTCGGGGTCTATGTTGCAGTAGCATCTCTAGTCTGCTCCATAGCTATGGCTGCGGACACCTACCATGGGTTCCGCCACAAAAAACTGTGGTTTCCGTGCAGATTTTTCTCTCTCGATCCTGCTTCTCTGACAATATTAGCTGTAGCAATGAAACTGCCTGTGGATCTAAGCACCAACATGCTACGCAAAATGGATCAGCTGGCAAAACTCAGCAGCACCGCCTTGATGTCTACAGCAATAGGTAATTTTATGCCATCTTTAAGAACCATGGATGACAAAGAAATCCTAATGAACATGACAGCCTTGGCTATTCTTGTAAGCAGCATCCTTGCAAATGTCTACATCCAATTAGGCACTGGCCTAATAAATAGAAATCTTATTGTAGAACATATTGTTGTTATGTTTTACTGGTTTGTTTTGCTTGTCATATTGAGTTTCTCAGCCTTGACGGTTTCGACCACTAAAAAACATTTACAGCTGAAGTATAGTGATTTACATAGAATCACTTCAACTGAAGAATCAGTGGGAATTGGAATGGCCACCACCCAAAAAACTAAAAGATTATGTGAAAAAGTATTGGATGATGGCAGAAACAGGTAGCCCTCAATTTGTGATGGCGCATTCTGTGAACTGCTCTGTTTTAGGGGCATTATGTTCTGTGACTACTGTCATTTTATTAGAAGCGGAGCTGAGGACGTTCTTTATGGACATATGTTTATACAGTGTTCCCTACGAACAATCTGATGATCGGTATGTTATGACTCACGATTCAGATTATAAGTGGTCAGTTTTGTTCATTCTTGTGATTCAGACGATCGGGGTGGTAGTAGGTACACCTGGGCCAGTTTTTAGATGGTTCATTGCCACAAAATTCCAGTGTTCAGTAAAAAAAGGCAAGAGTAGCAAAACTGAGTGGAAGACGGAGTATTACTGGATCAGAACGTTTGTAGGGTGGAGAGAGAGGCCTTTAGCTTTACGCCTCTGGAGCCAAAATTGTAGAAAACTTGTTCATAACACAAAGAATCGAATTCTGAACTTCTGTATTGGAGTTCAGATTGTGATCGTCACGGCTAGCAAATTAGGTTTGCTCATCTCCAGTTTCTTACTAAGCCTGTTGTTGTCATGTTTCCACTACTGCAAGGTCTTTAAGCAGGAGCTCCTATCTAAATCTAATGCCTCTCAAGTAATCACACAGGATCAGAATCGGAACCTGGTGCCCAACTGGATCTTAGCCGTTTTGTTCTGTATCTTGACGGTGAGGCGGAACTGACCCCACAGATCTTGAACAACATCAGGAATGCTACAGATCATTTGATACAGATAGGTAAAAAGCAGCAGCCTAAATATCTTAAAGACCTTTTAGGGAAATCTACCGGTTTCGAAGGGGTGGCAAAGTTTGATAACGACCAAATTCCATCTCTGAATTTTGAAGAACCACCCAACTCTTGGACTCTGCCTTTGGTTACACTAGCAAGCATTGCCATTGCACTTCCTAACATTGAAAAACAGAAGATGAAGCAGTTGCACAAAAGCATAAGTGAAGGCCTCTTGTATGTCAGCCTTGTAGAAAAAATCCTTGATTCCAAAGCTGACTTGGTAAACATTAGAAAGAAAGCAAATAGAGTGTGGGAAGAAGTTGATTTCTTCCGCAAATGGCTTGATCAAGATCTCCAAAATATCGCTGTTGAAGGAAAAACCACAAAGGAGACTCTGGAGAGACTTGTTAACATAGCTAAAACTATTGTCATGGAATATAAGGCAGGGATGAATGGGCAGGAGAACCCATTGAACTGGCCCATGGAGGTTATTGCTGCTAATTCAATGTACAGAATCGACCAAACTTTGCTGCTAGACCATGAAGGCAGTGAATACCAAATGGATCATGAAACACTATTTGAGCAATTATCTGTTATGGTCGCGGATATATTGGGTGCTTGTCTTACCAACTTACCGCGTGTTATAACTACGGAATGCTTTTGCAGTGCCATAAAAGAGAGGGAGAAAAGTGTCAAACATGCAGCTCGTCTTCTTGGTGAAACTGAAGAGATTCTCGATATCCTTCAACAGCGTGAACTTCCTACTCTAAATCCTGATCAAGCAGCTAATATCAATGAGTGGCGTGCTTCGATGAAGAAAGAAGATCCCTTGGCCTTTACTTCTTCATCCAACAATGGTGCATCTTCTTTTGGTTCTAGCAAGTCTATTGAGTAGGAGACCTGCATGATAAAATTCAGGCATATAATGCTATCACTGTCGGGTATGTACTCATCTGTGAGTTTTCTATATTTAAATTTTGTATGAATTCTCTGCATTTGAGTGTGATCTTGAGCATTTGAGTGTGATCTTGAACAGGTAGATTTATTCTATTCATATGCAACACATTCATTGTTTGTTTAGATATCATTTGAATTTACTGGATTCACAGGTAGACCTTTTCTTATGGTTCTAATATAGATTTATTCTATTCATGAACAACACATTCATTGTTTGTTTAGATATCACAGGTAGCACTATTCATGAATGCCAATCAAAATTTAGAAATCCTGAGCACGTATATAACGACCCGAACCCAGGGGTCCGAACCGTATCTGGGTCCTTACTCGAACCTGAGGTCATCTACTGTCACTACAGTCATTCCCAATTTTAAACTATAAGAGAACACATCATACTAAATCTGAAAACTGAAATACGGATTCTAAGTTTCTGAAGTGTTGTAATTTCCAAACTCATTTATGAGCCATACTAAAGGTTAACCCTGTCCCATAACAGTCACCACATGCATCTATAATGGTAGTATCATGATCACACACGTAGACGAAAAACCAAAAATTCATTTACATGAAACATTACATCCGACTACAGTCCCTGAACATATGTTTACGAAAGAGATACAAAACAAGTTTAAAGTTTTACAAAACTTGTATATACAACAAAAAATTAACACAAGAAAGTCCATCAAGTCCTGTCTAAGCCTGTGGGGGAATGTCTTTCGCCACTTCCTTTCCGTATCCTGAAAAGTAGTAGTTAGGAGTGAACACAACTGTAACGACCCAAAAGATAGCAAAATAGTAATAATAATAATAAAATATATAAAATTTCAGCATGAGCTCTGCAGAAAAAGTCCCTCTATAACCTGTTGAAATACATAAAATTGCAATAGCCTCACTGGACCTTAAAACTAATCTATCATGTCCCAACGTACAATACAAATATTATACCACATTCCCAAAATGATTACATACATATAAAAAGTCATGTTCCTTCATCTCATCCAAACAAGGAACACACTTTAGTTACATCAAGTTACAGTCCATAAAATATAGTTAAAATTTAAAAGTCTATAACTTACAACCTTATACCAATTAAACTAAAGTTTCACAAAATAGTTAAGATTGCATTTACAAAATATTAGAGTTCAAATACAAAAGATAGCAAAATAAAATAGATCTCCAAGCTCGTCTAAACTTATGGTGGATCGTCATCCGCCACCTCTTTTCCATGTCCTAAAAAATGTTTAAAATAATGGGGTGAGCATAAACTCAATAGAAAATGTCTAAGACACATTTCTTATAACCCCGTAAATCCATGCAAAGAATAGGAAAAAGTATACAGGATCATGCCAATTTCGGGAGAAATACAATCTTAATATCAATAACACCAATCCAAGTCACAAATAAAACATGTCATGCTATAGGACTAACAACTTTCAAGTTTGAGGTGGATTGTCGTCCACCGGTTCATTTCCAAGACCTGAAAAAAATAATATAAATATATAGGGTGACCAAATTGCTCAGTAGGTGGCACCTAAGACACGCATCTTGTGTCCCCGTGAACCCAAACAAGGAATAGGATAATAGGAATCGGGGTCATACTGTGTAGAGAAAATACAACATAACATACAGTTTCAACACAATCAATATGGAGCAATGAAGTGCAGTGCATGTTAATGTCGCTCCCCATTTTCAACAATTCAAATCCACCAATTTCAAACTGTTAATGTAACCCCCTTTGGTGACTTCGCAGTGCCGAGAGAAGGATTGGCTACTGTCCCTGACCTTTGGTGACTCCGCAGCGTCATTATGGGGCCCAGATAGCTCAACCACGCTAGGGCAATCTCCCTAGTTCCCTCTAGGTTACATTAACCTACCGGCCCATTGGTGACTCCGCAGCGACTGGGTTTTCTCAAAACTCTTTTTCATCAAAACTTGTTTCCCCCAAAAGTTCCCCTTTTTGTATCAAACAATTTCTTTCCCATTTTGATACCCAATGACATGCATGATCATCATATGCTTTCATGATGCCATGACACATAAAAGATTCATACAATACATAATTTAACATGCTCCCATTCAACAATTTACAAAGAAATTACTAGCACCATAAGCATAATGGGAGCTACATACAGACATGCTTTCCATATAACAAATTCTACCAAGATATAAATACTGAAGCATGTAAAATCAACATCTAAGCATGTTTGTCTCACAAAACCACATATACACATAAACATGAATCTCATTTACAAAACCAAATCATTATTAGAGGTAATCAACTCAATTAAGCATGTTAAGCACCAATTAACAAGGATTAATTCACTAAGGGACAAGAACTCATGGATTAGAAACCCCTACCTCTTAGAATTGCGAAAACCCTCAAAATGGGTCCAAATTTTGAAGTCTCTAAGGAGCACCAAAACTGAAATTGCTTGTACCCACGCATAGAGTTCATCGTGATCTCCGTTTTGCCTCAAACGACACTTAAATCTACCATGTAATGAGAGAGAAATCAAGATCCAAAGTTTGGCTTCCAAAAGAAAAGAAAAATGAAGGGAAATGAGGAAGAAATGGGGAGAGAGAAAAATAAGAGAAAATGAGTGGTTTCTAAACCACTAATGCATTAGTGGTGGGTCCCTCCACTTCAAATTTTGATTTTTCATTATTCTTTTGTCACAAAATTCTACACCACATAACATGTACAATGCACCACATGCACATACCACTTAGTCCACATGAATTAAAATGTACCAATTGCAATTGGACCCAACCACAATCCCGTACGCAAAACGTGAAATGACATAAATACCTTTGTGGCAAGAAAATTTTCAGAAAATTAAAAAAATGGTAAAAAAATCGAAAACGTCACAATTTACCCAAGCTCCTCACTTGCTATCTTAATCGAACATCTTCTGCGAAAAGAGGTGGTTTCTCACAATCGAAAAGGAAGAAGGGGCAAGGGCAACCTTTGAATCGTTGAGAGCTTCTATTTTGTGTTGTACTACGGGTGCATTGGAGGTGTTGCTTGGTCCAAAAAGGCCGTCGAGGCGTCGCCGGAGTCATACAACAAGAATAGTTCCACCGGATTCTGAGCTCGTTGGAGAAGAGAGAGATCAGGAGGGAGGGAAAAAAAAAAAAAGAGCAAGGGTAATGTTGGAAAAAATTATTAATTTGAACTGATTTGGAAATAAATAATAAAAGTATGACTTTCTTATACTAAAAAAAAAAAAAAAAAATTCAACAGGATTTGATTGTCTTTTAACTTCAAAAATAAACCTATCTAGAAATTTTTCCTAAAATTTTATTGGTATCATCTAATTCAATAATACGCATAGAATTTTATTGGTATCTAATCAGATATCATAGGCAAGCTCGGGTTGTACTCTTAATTCTTGAATTCGGATATCTTTAACCGAGCTCAACCCCAAAATAAAGATCTGAATTTGGATTTATGAAAAATTATGTTGTAACCTTATGTAAAGCGTCGAGTTCAATGAACTAGTAGTCAAAAGCATCAATGAAAGTTCTAAAAAAATGCATTGTGACGTTGTTCATGGATATAAAAAAATAATACTAATAATAAGAAGAAAAAAAAAATGAGGACAAATCCTATGCTGTTTCAGTGAAAGTTTCGAAAGGCCAAGAATCTATTCCAGCTATCGGTGCAAGGACTTCAAGTCAACTTGAATTGGGAACGTGACAGCTGCAGTAACATACTGACAGCTTCTAAAAAATACATTTATGATATTCAATAATAAGAGTATCTCCAGCAGTATATTAAAATACTTTTTTATGTAAAATATACACTGTCACTTATAATATATAAATTTTTTCCATCTCTAGTGGTATGTTAAGATACATTGTCACATCACCAATGTGTAAAAAGGTTGTGTATACACTGCCAAATCAACATATTTCCTTTTTCATCCCTCTTTCTCATTCCATTAAAGAATTAACCATATATTAAGTAAGTTTGTAGAAGTTATGTGGGTCCTGGCATGACACATGGTTAATTGTTATTGGGAGATATATTTTTACACAAAAGGTATAAAACAAACGTTAAAGCTAAAATTAAATAATTCAAATTTTTTGTGTAAATTCATCATGACATATCAGATTTACACAAAAAAAATATACACAATGGTTGGAGATGCTCTAAGTGACCTTACATGAATAATTTTATACTACTGTAATTAGTGATTAAGGAAAGTATTTTAAAAGCATATTATAACGACCCACTTCATCACATGATATGATATTGTTCGCTTTAGATCTAAACCTGTACGGTTTTATTTTTGGGCTTTACCCCAAAAGGCTTAAAGTATTTTAGACGCATATGATCCTCTCGATAAATCAAAACGACTACTTAGTAATAAACAAGTTCACTATTTTCTCAAATTTAATAGTAACTTGTTAGAACAATACAATTATATAGAGAAAATTACAATGATTTTCTTTATTGGAATTACTTGTTTTAATTGGTTAAATGGTTTATTAATTTAATTAATTGGATTAAGTTAGTATTGTTAATTAATTTAGTTTTGCTTACGTAATTAAGTTGGGCCGACTAGTTTTAGTTTCTTTAAATTTTTCTGTCTCTTATTGTGACTAGAATTAGGGTAAACTTAATTGCCTATATTAATACGTGTATAAGTCTGCCAAGGGTTTTAGAACCCTATTCATGTACCGGAGGCAGAGAGAAATAAAGGGAGGCTTGAGAGGAAAACAGAGAAGACCAAGGAGATTTATTGTGGATGAAAGCCAGAGTAGTATGAGGCTTGATAGTATTCAGTAATTGCCGGAAACTTAGAGACGACGCCGAGATTTCATAACTGAAATCACAGGCAAGTTCTTTTCTTTCTCTCTCCCTTGGCCTGTGTTCTGTGCATATCTAGATGGTCTCTAGGGTTTTAATTAAACGTTAACTGAATCTCGCAT